TATAAGAGACAGCTCCTCCTCCTCCTCCTCCTCCTCTTCTTCTTCTTCTTCTTCTCCTTGTTCTCCTCCTTCTTCTACTACTTCCGCCTCTGAATTATCACGCTTTGAACACCCCGGCTCGCGGCTAATGACAATGATTAACCCTGTGCATGCAGCAATGATGGCGTCGATATGCGGCATGCTCGCCCGCTCGAGCTTGGTGTTGCTCGCCTTCACAGCGAGCGCATGACGCAATTCAGTAACAGTCAAGGGCCTCGTTGCACATAGTACGTACGAGAGAGCTCTTTTGGCTAGGTCGACCTGATTTACGCTCTGCCTCTCAATCTGCTTCATCACGGCGTCGTAGGCCGCGTTGTAGTCATTTGTACTAGTGGCATTGGGGGTAGCAACCACAGCAGAGAGAGCGGCTCGGATCGCTTCCGGTGACGGCTTTCCAGCCAGGGAGTGGATGTGGAGCACTGCGAGGAGAAACCTGAACACAGATCTCTAAGTCAGGTGCCAAAGCGTGTACATTTGCAGGACTCACCTCCCATCGGCTACCTGGTAATGGTATCACTGATCTCCTGCCGGAGGTCGGGCATACCTCCCAGAAAGGCTGGAAGCAGGTCCATGATACACCGCTCCAGAAACGATCGCAGGTCGTCTTGACCGGCCCGGATCTCCAACGAAGCTGTGTTGACAAACCTCGACGCGATCTCTGGATCCAAATCGGACGTCGCTAGAAGGTGAATCGGGTTGTGGGCCTGCAGCTTAAATATCTCCTCGAGCAACCGAATCCGACGGTCCGCCGCACACTCGTCCAGCGCGTCCACAACAAAGAATACGCGATCGTACGTTCTGACGACTCGCTCGAGAGCCGCGGCGATCCTGGCCAGCGACGGCGGTTCGCCAAATGGGTAAATCTTGCTGAAAACCTCGTGGCATGTCTCACGTAGAGGCCAAGGTCGGGGCGGGCTCAACTGATGGAGAAGGAGGAGGAGAAGATTCTCGGGAGATTGTTCTTCGTGAAGATGAAAGACGCAGTAGATGTACGCGAACCCTATCTTCGAGGCAGAGGAGCTGGGTGGAAAGCGACCCCTGAGGTCTTCGATCACTGTGGAGGCAAGAACTGTCTTTCCTGCACCCGCTGGTCCGGGACAGAAGAGGGTTCGGAGATCCTGCCCTCGCTCCTCTGGATCTGGTGAATGGGGCTTTGCATTGACCCATTTCTGGTATGGCTCTGAGTTGAGAAACCACTGAAGCGACCCGGGATGGCGTCTCCGTGCGAACTCGGCTTGTTGATCATGATACGTGAGGGGAGCGAGCCATCTCGGGATGTCTTGGAGTTCTCGGTCATCAGGCTCTGAATCCGACATGGCGAGAACTCTGGTATTGTAGTGTAGACCTGATTTTGATCAATCAGCGGCAGTCAGACACGAGAACGACTTGTGCGAAAAGTAAACGTGCGCCTCAATTGGGAGCCCCAGGTATTTGGCAGATCAGCCTCAACAACAACCTGAATGATGGCAAGAGTGCAGGTACTCAAGGTAGGTTGGGTAGATTACCTTCCACCAATGACACGCCACCACGTCACGGTGAGGCTGAGGCTGTTATGGCTGCCTTACTGCAACAGCCGGGCGATATAGACGACCCAGCATTGAAGACACTGCTGGTCCCTGTGCCGAAGAAACACCGGAGGGTGGCTGCCATTAATTGGACGACCAGGGCGTTCTTCGGACGGGTTGAACGTTCGAATCGAAATACAGACGCCTCTCCTGAAAGATGATGACCATTGTAACAGCGGCAATCACTATAGAAGTCGACAATGACAACACGGGCCAAGAGAGGACTTCTAGACAACGTCAGAACGCCTTATCCCTGAAGTACCTATAGGATTTTATCGACTTCTTCGGCGCATTATTGGTGGCTCTTCATATTCATCGAGTTGGTCTCCTTTCCTGTGGCGACTTAATGCGGTTGTGACTCGTCGTCCGAGTTCGTCGACGTTAAGAAGCCATGCTGGGAGAGACGTAGCTTCTCGCGCCCTCAGTGCTTAACAGCACAATGACAGCATCTGTCAACAATCCTGCGGGAGGAGAATCTGTCAAGCTGATTTTTTTGATGGCAGCAAGTGCCGCCGCTCCACAAGGCCCAGCATTGACACCATGAGATTGAAGATACTGGATGGATTTATGGCATTCCAAGTCTGAGACTGCGATGCTGATATCGACTGCTCTTGAAAGGATTGGCCAGGAGATAGGAGAGACAGTCCCACAATTCATACCGTTCATGATGGTTGCCGATGTCGCGATTGTGTTCCATTCGCCAGATCGGAGATTTTGATGCAAACATGCCGCGGTCTCAGGCTCTACTGCCACCACACCAATTTGTCTGCCGTCAGACTTGCAAAAGGCTGCAACAGAGTGACCCAAAGAGCCGACACCGATGGGAGTGACAATCATGGTCGCTTCCAGCTCCTGGGCATTGAGTTGCTCCTCGACTTCAAACAAGAGTGTTGAATAGCCTTCCACGATCCAGGCCGGAATTTGTTCGTATCCGTCGAAAGCATTGTCTTGAATAAGAAGGCCACTTGGCGTCTTCTGTGATTCCTCAAAGGCCTTTGAGACGGCATCATCGTAGGTGCCGGATATGACCGTGACTTCTGCGCCTTCCCTCTCGATCTTTTGGCAGGTCTCATCGTCAGCAAATCTGGACATGAAGATCCGAACTGGGACGCCCAGTATCTTGCCCATTCGCGCGACAGCCCGGCCGTGGTTTCCTTCGGTAGCCGCAAAGAGTGTTGTCCCTGACCTCTTCGCTGCAACTGAAGCGTCTTCAAGGCTCGAGTCAAGGGCAAGTCCATGCTGCTCAGCGATCGCACGGAAAGTACCCCATGAAGCACCCAGGATCTTGAAAGACGGCAATCCGAGCCGGCTACTTTCGTCTTTGACAAAGATTGCTTTGACATTTAGCTCTTTGGCGAGATCATCCAGGGGGACAATCGGGGTCGTTTTGTACCCAGGGAGGCGCTTGTGGAAAGCCTGCGCAAGGGTTATATCTGCATCGTACGTGTGTGTGTAGGATTGAGCCTGCGGATTCGCAAATATGATTGAGTGGGACATGGTTTTCCTGGTTAGATCAACACCACGTCTCGTCAATTGATAGCCCAGGGAATGCTCTGCGGACGTTTTCTCGAGGGCTGCTTCTATCCGAAAGCTACAACAATCCTACCTCATTGGAGGGTTTAAGAATTTCTCCGATGATGGAACTCGGGATGTGGTAGGGCGTGAAAGTCAGCTTCCTGGCAACTGGTTTTGCTAGTGGTTCCCGGAAATGAACCGGACGGGCACAAGTTACAGCCAACGTAATCCACAAGAAGTCTCATTGATTCAAGTGACTTGATCTGTTGTCGAGGATTGAGATGATATTCTTCTTCTACCAACCAGGGATGCGCTAAAGGGGAACTCCGAGGGCTCGGGTCCGCATGAATATTAATCCGTGACATCCAATCATGTTTGCAGGAACAGCCCGGCTCAAGGCTGCAGCAATGACGATGTTTAACAGGACAAGAGGATCAGGCTGGTGAGGCTGGTGGCTGGTTGAGCTATCTCACCACACCTGCATCAGAGGTCGACCTGCCAGCTGGCGTGTCTCTATTGGCCGCTTCATTGCAAAGGCTACATATTCTGCCAGCAAATCCAGAAGATGTGACCCCTGCAGCACACAGCACCCGCGTGCTCCCCAACTTGCTCACCAGTTTACGAGAGTGGGTGTCGCTCGCACATCTCGGTGATTGGCTCTCGACAATATCTCGCGGCCCAAGCGCACTAAATCTTGGTGTTCTGTCATCTGAAGGGGTTCCTGTTAGTGAAGAAGCCCGCCATGGCTGGGGACGAGGTGAAGAGAAGGAAGACTCATCGTCACAAACATGGTGATCCTGGAATGCCAAAACCCCGAAAGCGATCCGAGGATGATAGTACGACATCGAAATCGCCCGCCACCACCGATAGCCCCGCCGATATCGATGCCCTCAGAAAGGCCAGACTCACATATCTAGCCAAATCTCCTGAGGAACGCCGAAACGACATGAAGTACGAGTATATAAAACGGACAAAGACGTCGGAAGCAGACGAAGAGAAGGACAAGCGCCACAAGGCTGTGCGAGGCCAGGTCATTGATCGGGAGGATCGAAAACCTGAGCGCCGTTCCACCACGCGCACGGATAGCAATCGACGAGCCGTAGCGCAAGACGAGAGTGAAGATGACTACGTTTATTCCAGAAACGAACGATCGTCTGGCGCACGCAGCACAGGCGCAACACAGATAGAGACAACTCGTACCCAGAGAACGAAATCCCAAAGTCAAAATCCCAAAAAGACGGAAACAACGCGAAGAGCGCCGGAGCGACGGTATACGGAGCCAGCCAGAAGGAAGGAAGTATACGTCTTTGATGAGTAGGTCTCATTCATCCGGCATTATACCCCAGGCTGACTGTATTTTCCAGAGTACCCTGCGCAGGCAAAGAGGCGCATCCGCTACCACGTCGAATGTCTATTGTGACCGAGAAACCACGGAAACCCGAGATTAAGAGAAGCGTTACAACTGTAAAACCCAAGGTTGAAGTGGGTGTCGCAGAATCCGAGGTCGCTACAACGCCCAAGAAGGGATCAGGCCTTTTGAGCGGACTTCTACCACCTAAACCAGCACCTCAAAGAAAAGTCTCTTGCCTAACTTGTGGTGACGATGAAATTCCAGTGGCACAATCCGCTCTCCTGCCTTGTAAGCACCGCATGTGCAACACATGCCTCAAGCGGGTCTTCAAGATGTCCGTTTCCGATCCTGCGCACATGCCACCTCGGTGCTGTACCGACCAGCACATTGCACTCAAGCACGTCGAGAAATTGTTCGACGACAAATTCAAGGTACTATGGAACCGCAAGTTTCAAGAATACAAGACCAAGAATCGAGTATATTGTCCGGGTCGGAAATGCGGCGCCTGGATTAAACCACACTACATCACCATAGAAAATGGTCGAAAAGTAGGCCGTTGCAAACAATGCAAAACAAAGGTTTGCCCGACTTGTTCTCAAAAGATGCATACGACTCGTGAGTGCCCCAAGGACCCGGAAACAAAAGCTTTCATCGAAACGGCGAAGGAGAAAGGTTGGCAAAGATGTTACAGCTGTCACGCTATGGTCGAGTTGAAGGAAGGCTGCAATCATATGACATGCCGCTGCACGGCTGAATTCTGTATGGTATGTGGTCTGAAATGGAAATCCTGCGACTGCCCGTGGTTCAACTACGAAGCTGTTGACGCGAATATGGGGGATCCTATGCGCTATCAACAAGAAATGGACCGACGTCGGGATCAAGTCAACCGTGATGAAGAGCTCGCTCGACGCATGCAACAAATGGGGCTAGGCGACGATGGTGAAGGTCCAGCTGCTCGTATGTTTGGGCTGGGAAATGGAGCGAACCACCACATGAATCAGAACTTCATCCAGCAAGCGCGTGAAGCGCTGACGGCCAATTATGCACAAGCGGGCCAGGCTGCTATGGGCCTTTTGAATGGCTTCGTTAGGGGTCGAGAAAACCCCTTGCCTGGTATACCCATGGAGATGGAACAAATGCTGGAAATGCTCGGGCAAGGTGGTCGCATGCGCGACCCAGCAGAGGGCGAGGATCCAGGACGGAGAACTGGGCGACGAGCGACAAATAGACGAAGACAAGCTGGCCTCGACGAAGCAAGAGGAGCAGACAGACGAATTCATGATTGGGTACACGGCAGGGCTTGATATGACAGGAACCGGTTCGTCGTTCATGTTTTACGAGGTGCAGGTCGACGATTGGGCTCATGATCCTGGGATTTCATACGGACGGATGGACAGGAAGAGACGGAAGGCCGCTCGCGATGGTAATCTTCGGCTTTTGGATACCCACGGGCGAGCGTACCACGGTGTTGGGAATATCGACGGGGTCAACAGACCAGATGAAAGGTTTCGGTATCTATCATGAGGTGATGTATATCGATGAACCAGGCCCCAGATTACAAGGGCCTGTACAAGCAGACGTTTATATTATGTGATTGGTGGTACTACTTGACGAGGTGCAAGTGACTCTCAGGTTCAATGACAAGGGTTTGGGTTTCTGTGCAAAGAGAACAACTTTTCATTCGTAACTGTTTTCCGTAACCCTCGGGCAGAACAACCACATGCCTATAGGTACGTAGAGTGGGTGTTATAAAGTCTACAGAGAAAGGAAATTCTTTCTCGGTATCCTTCACACATCTTTGAACAGGCTCTCCAGCTCTCTCGCCACCGCATCGCCGACTTCGACGGTCGTGTTTTCTCCGCCAATGTCTTTGGTGACGATGCCCTTCTCGATGACAATCTTCACGGCCTGTTCCACGAGTACGCTCTCCCGGGGCATGTTCAGACTGTACAACAACATCATTGCGACGCTCAGGATGGCCGCGACGGGGTTGATGACGCCTTTTCCGGCGATGTCCGGCGCGGAGCCATGGATGGGCTCGTAGATGCCGTTGCACAGTCCCTGCCCGTCCGGAATGCCGCTGAGACTGGCGCTGGGGAGCAAGCCGAGGCTGCCGGGGATGACGGAGGCTTCGTCAGAGATGATGTCGCCGAACAAGTTCGACGTGACGATGACGCCGTTCAGGGCGCGGGGGTTCTTCACCATGATCATGGCGGCCGAGTCGATGAGTTGGTGTTCGAATTCGAGCTGCGGGAACTCCTTCTGCATTGTCTCTGTAAATACCCGGCGCCACAGGCGAGATGTGGCCAGGACATTGGCCTTGTCGAGACTCCAGACCTTGGAGGGAGGGTTCTTTGCCAGGGCGAGGTAGGCTCCCAGTCGCGTGATGCGCTCGATCTCCTTTCTCGAGTACGGTTCGCGGTCCTCGGCCCACTCGTTCTCGCCGTCCTCGGGTTTCCCTTCGACGCGCTCGCCGAAGTAGATACCGCCGGTCAACTCGCGGACGATCATGAAGTCGGTTCCCCGGCAGACCTCTTCTTTGAGCGGCGAACGCGAGGCGAGGCTGGGAGAGGCGAAGAAGCAAGGTCGTAGATTGCCAAAGGTGCCCATCTCCTTGCGGAGTTTGAGGAGACCCTGCTCAGGGCGGACCTTGCCCACGCCATACTTGGGACCGCCGATTGCGCCGAGGAGGACAGCGTGGGCGGATTTGGCAGCATTCAGGGCCTCGTCCGTCAGGGGTGTACCATGGGCGTCAATCGAGCACTGCGGAATAGTACCATGTCAGAAATATGGGCGGTTTCGTACCCCGGAAGGACTGCACACTCACCCCTCCCAGCAGATGGTCTTGGAAATTGAACTGGACATCCTTGGAGCACTTCTCTACCACCTTGAGGACCTATTGCACACAATTCCATCAGTCACTGTTTGCCGTCATTCATTTGACCTGATTATAACGTAGGTGTTCAAGACCTCTCGGGTTTTCACAGACCTTTACAGCCTCTTTGGTCACCTAGAAGCATCCGACCGTTAGCGACGCCTTCGACCTCTGCAGGATACATACCTCGGGACCTGCATAGTCGCCAGCAAAGACGACAATATTGTACGCTGGCATCTTGGCTCTTTTGAGTTGTGCGTGCAGATGAAGTGTGGCTAGTAATTATGAATTCAGGTCACTTTGAATTGGCATGTTTGAATACATGCGAGTTTGCTGCCCTTTTGTCTGACGGGGAATGTAGGCGCCGATATCGGGCCCTTCACGTGCCACACACCCGCAATCTGGACTCGAAACTGGTCTGACATTTTCATTTCTCTGCCGCAGTCCCACACAAACGGTCTGTCAATGGTCTGTCATTAATTACTATCGACGCTGTGCCGCCAGGCCGCCTACAGAATAATATGTCCCTCCTCGATCCCAGACAGGCTGACAGGTCAATGGCGGACTTTCTCAAACGGCCCACGGTCAATGCCACTTTAGGCTCCAGGCAAACTCTCCCTGCGCCGACTGGCTGGCTATATCCAACATTTAAGAGGTGGGAGCGAGCCCTTGATGTTACATGGAACAGACATGATCTGCATGGGAAACCTACATGGGCTGAGTGACGTGCTCACTCAGGCAGCATCATTCTGGCCAGACACATATCAACACTCAAGGGCCACATCCAACCTCATACTACACAATGTGCTTACATCGAGGTAGGTTTGTCGTGTGAGAATGGCTTACCTGCTATCCAACAGTTCAGATTCACTGTTCGGTCCCGCATACGAGGGTCCGTTCAGGAGCTTTGACTTTACAGTCCTCTTTGAAGACACAATTCTCACCATTCTTCCTGCGGCCCTCTTCCTTGTCTCTGCCACTGCAAGGGCAGCGTGGTTGACGAGCAAACCGAACAAGGTCACTACCTCCTTCAGCCGGTTGTCCAAGCTTGTGAGAACTACTCTACAGAGCTGGATTGGCAGACTCGCTCACCAGTCACAGGTACTCCTATCTGCGTTCGTCACAGTGCAACTGACGGTGCTCCTCGCCCGAGCGACAAACTCCGAGGTAGCAACAAAGGCTTCTGTTGCAGCAGCCGCCCTTGACTTTGCAGCATCATGCGTACTTTTTGTTCTGTCGTGCTTCGAACACTCGCGTTCAGTGACACCTTCCACCATAATTGGGCTCTACCTAATCGTTTCATTGCTGTTTGGCGCAGTTCAGCTACGGACCTTTTATCTGCTCCGCGGATTTGCTGCCAAAAGCATTGCCAATCTATTGTCCCTGTCGCTGGCGATAAAATTGGGAGTCCTGGTCACCGAAGCGGTCGAGAAGCGTGGAATACTTCTCGAACCATATCGTGATCTTCCTCTAGAAGCCACTAGTGGTATCTATAACAAATCCGTGTTCTGGTGGCTAAACCCTCTTCTAAGGCTGGGGTTTAGCAAGACTCTGAGAGTTGACGACCTGTATAACCTGGATGAAAAACTGACGTCTGCAAATGTTGCTGCACGTTTCAGAAGAGCATGGGAAGATACAAAGGAACATCACCGGTTCACTCTCTGCTTCGTGTCGGCATATGTTCTGAGATGGCAACTTTTGGTCTCGGCTTGCCCTCGCCTCTTCCTCATAGGTGCCAAATTTGCGCAGCCATTCCTGGTTCAGCAAACTATTCAGTATGTTTCCAACCGCAACACTCAGACGGCCGCTGTCGGGTGGGGACTGACAGGAGCATACTTCCTGGTTTATCTCGCCCAAGCTATTCTGGAGGCCATGTCTCGTCATCTTCTCAATCGTTGTGTTACCCAAGTTCGCGGCGGGCTGGTTTCTCTGCTCTACGAAAAATCACTTGAGCTCAGCATTGTCACAGTCGACCCGTCGGCGTCTTTGACCTTGATGTCATCCGATATACAGAGGATCGTTGATCCACTCGTGTTTGTGCACACCACCTGGGCCAGCATTGTCGAAGTTTCAATCGCCATGTATCTGCTGTATCAGCGCCTGGGCAGTGCGTGCTATGCTCCGGCGATTGTTTATGTCCTCTCGATGCTGGGGACCGCCTGGGTGGTCAAAGTCATCGGACGATATCAGAAGCGATGGCTGAATGCAGTCCAGACTCGTGTTTCGTTCACGTCAGCCTTGCTGCATTCTATAAGGAACGTCAAACTCCTCGGCATGTCCTCGATCATCAGGGATCGCACTCAGGGACTTCGACAGTGGGAGATCAGCGAATGCAAAAAGTATCGTATCATCAACAACTACCAAGTTCTTATCCAAAATGGTCACATTGTCTTCGCACCTTTTGCAACCTTCCTGCTCTACTACATCAGATCTCGCAACACCGGAGAAGCCCTCGATATAGCGACCGCGTTCAGCATTTTAACCATATTCCGCTTGATTGAAAGCCCCATGCAGAATCTGTTGTATAGCTGTCCTCAATTAGCAAGTTCGCTTTCATGCTTCGAAAGGATACAGCAATATTTACTTTCTGACTCTCGCCACGATAACCGGCTTTCATTGTTGAACCATGATAATTCGGACGGGCACTGGGCCAGGCCTGGTGTGGGCACTGAGGCTTTCGAGATGAGCCGACTGGGAAGTTCTGGCAGCAGCATTGTAGAAGAGGCTTTGGTTCTCAAAGATTGTTCTTTTGGTTGGACTGAGCATGGCCCGCCTGTTGTGCAGGATATCGATCTATCCGTCCATGCTGGCAGCGTCACCATGATCGTTGGGCCTGTGGGGTGTGGAAAATCCACTTTGGTCAAGGGTATTTTGAGCGAAACCCCGGTGTCTCATGGGTTTGTTTATGTTCAGAATCAGTCTGTCGCCTTTGCTGATCAGGAGCCCTGGATCCAGAATGGCACGATCAGGGACACCATTCGCGGCCCGGATTCAAGGAATATCCCATACGAAGGTGACTCCTGGTACCACGAAGTCATCGATTGCTGTGGACTAGGGGAGGATATCTCCGTACTTGCAAAGGGTGACCAAACATTGATCGGTTCCAAAGGCATTTCCCTGAGCGGCGGACAAAAACAGCGACTTGCTCTCGCTAGAGCTGTCTATTCCAGGGCATCTATCCTTGTGCTTGACGACGTCTTCTCAGGCCTCGACAACGACACGGAGGAATTGATATTCAAGAAACTCTTCAGTCATTCCGGACCGCTGAGACGGCAGAACACCACGGTTATTTTGGTCACACACGCTGTGCATCGTCTTCCACATGCAGATTGCATTGTGAGTCTCGATGTGAATGGCCGGATTTGCGAACAGGGCACCTATTCCCACCTGATAAGTCAGCGTGGCTACGTCCACAGCCTTGACGTTCGATTCAGAAAGGAGCATCAAGGTTCCAAGAAAGAAGAAGTCGGGTCCTCCCCCGAGGTTGGAACATTCCTTAAAGTGTCCACAGGATCGCAAACTGTCGAAGAGGAGAATGAGAATGCTCAAGATCTCATGCGAAGGACCGGAGAGTGGTCCTCATACAAGCATTGGTTTCGCTCCTGCGGATATCTCTCGAGCTTACTCTCTCTTGTCTGGGCGTTTCTCTTCGTCATTGCCAGCCAGGCACCAGGCGTGTTGGTCAAAGCATTCCCAGGCGACACCCCTTCGCAAGCGACCATATTCATCATCATCTTCGGCATAGCATGCGTCATTGCGGCAATAGCAATCGTGCTGCTGGTGATTCAAATCCTTCTCAAAATGCAACCGAAAAGCTCTAGCAACCTCCATCTGAGCCTTCTAGAAGCAGTCCTGAACGCGCCGTTATCCTTCTTCACTCGCACCGACATTGGATCTGCCACGAGCCGATTTGGCCAGGACATGGCACTTGTCGACTCCGAGTTGCCATTCTCATATGCCGATTTCGTGCTCTCTTTTGTATCCTGTGTTGCCGGGCTTGGACTGATGGCTGCCTCTGGCACGGGATATTTTGCGGCCACTATTCCCTTCGTGCTCGCGGCCATGTATGGAATCCAAAAATACTATCTGCGAACGAGCCGCCAAATGCGTCTTTTGGACTTGGAGGAGAAGGCCCCGCTGTACACACTGTTTGGCGAGACGGCTGCCGGACTGGTCAGCGTTCGTGCTTTTGGCTGGGCAGATAAGTTCGCCGAGCGAAATCTGGAGCTGCTGGACCGAAGCCAACGGCCATTCTACTTGATGTACTGTATCCAACAGTGGCTCGGGGTCGTCTTGGATCTCTTAGTGACGGGGCTTGTGACAATACTGATGGTGATTATTGTGGCGAAGAGGGAGTCCATTGGGCCGGGTCTCGTGGGCTTGGGTCTACTAAGCACGGTCAATCTGAGCAGCAACTTGACAAACTTGGTCCGGTGCTGGACCATGTTGGAGACTAGCATCGGAGCCATCAGCCGCCTGAGGGATTTTGTCACGAATATCGAATCCGAGCACAAGGCGTGGGAAGTCGAGCCGGTGCCGACACAATGGCCAGAGCACGGACATTTGGGTTTCACACAGTTTGGAGCCAGTTACTCGGAGGACTCTATGCTGGTTCTGAAAGACATCAATCTGGAGGTCCGACGTGGTGAGAAGCTGGGCATCTGTGGGCGGTCGGGAAGTGGCAAGAGTTCAATGCTGGCCAGTCTCTTCCACCTGCTCGAGTTCCGCAGTGGACAGATCCAGATCGACGGGGTCGACATCTCTCGTGTTCCGCGCGAGATACTCCGCGCGAAGCTCAACGTGATTCCACAGGAACCGTGGTGGGTGACGACCGAGTCTGTGCGGTTTAACATGGACCCGTGGACGGCTGCAAATAGACCAGAACCCGGAAATCCCTCGAGCCGCAGTGATGGCGACCGCGATCGTGACGCAATGTTCATCGCGACGCTGACCCAGTGCCAAATCTGGGCCGTCATCCAAGAAAAAGGCGGCCTCGACACGACCATGACGCCCGACTTTCTCAGCCACGGCCAGCGCCAGCTCTTCTGCCTCGCCCGCGCCATGGTGCGGCAGAGCAACGTCGTGGTGCTGGACGAGGTCAGCGCAAACGTCGACGTCAAGACCGACCGGCTCATGCAGCGCATCATCCGCGAGAGGTTCCGCGACTGCACCGTCATCGCCGTGGCGCATCGGCTGAACACCATCGAGGATTCGGATCGGGTCGTTGTGCTGAGTCAGGGCAGGGTGGTCGAAGTGGGCGAGCCGAGAGCGTTGCTGGGAGCCGAGAAGAGTTGGTTCAAGGATCTATACGAGTTGCGAGAATGAGAATGAGGGTTCATTTATCGCCTCTTCCTCTTCCCTCTTCGTCGTCCAGAGTGCTGCTGGCTGGCTGGAGGAGTCAAAACAAATTAACCACCGATAGATACTTGCTTTGAGGTACCGAAATAAAGTGGAAGCAGATATCTAGTCCGTAACCAAGTGAAGCTGTCGTCGACGGTTCACTGTGGGGGCAAAAGGGCAAAAGGGGTAAAAGCCGAGAGTATCTACAACCTCTACGGGGAAGGCTACACGAGCACTTTGTCTCTCACAGAGTTGCCTTGATAGTTGTGTGGTTCCTGATTATGCCGCCTATCAAACTCGCCGGAATAGAAATCCCTTCTAATAGTTTATGACCACTAGTAACCACCTAGATCTGCCACTGTGCCGCATCCTCTCCGTTGCCTGTGTCGTTCATGCTTAGGTCTCTTTCTCCTGTGATTAGCGGTGAAGGCCCAAGAAGCGACAAAGGCTGCTGTCCGGTGCGGGCCGATGCCAGATCATGGGACTGGGGCAGATCTACGAGGTAGTGGCGGCCGAGACACGAGCCGAGTTGAGGAGAAACGACGGGTTGGGCGGCTGGATAGACTGCTTGTCCAACCATTTTTCATCATGTAAACCACGCATGGATCTTGGGACGGGTCAGACTTGCTGAATGTTATTCCACTCTATCCTTCGTGTCTCTCGAGCACGGCTGCAAAATAGTCAAAACGGGCAGTTAGATGGTGCACATAGTGCTTTTGCTTGGGCCTCCGGCAGCTTTGCAGTTGTCCAACCAACCGGGGTCCAGCTTAGTGGTGTTGTAGTATGCAACGACGCTCCCAACAGTCATAAATACGTCCGAAGTGCTAGGTGTTCCGCTCCACCATTGGTTCCCATCCGCCCATAACTTGAGTTGTAGGTTGCCGCCCTCTTTTGGGACGTTGTTGGTATTCTTGTGAACAAGCTTGCCATCAACGTAGAAAGCGACCCCAAGGTCCGGGTGGCTGTCAAAGCGATATTCGCGAAAAACGTCTGTGCTGAACTGGGGATCGTCTAATGACTTGGCCAAGGTCGCGCCTGGGACGGGAGAGCCATCTGGTGCACTAGACGGATGTGAAGTGAAGCTAATCGTGTTGTTCACAAGCGAAGTGCCTCTTGTGACAATCTCCATGTCAATTTCTGATCGGTCGTCCTGCGCCGCAGGTTAGATCCCAGCCTCAGGCGGAGAAGGAGAGCGTGAGGTTGCTAACACGATACCAAAAGAATCCCGCACAGGCGCCACCGTTGGATCCCTCGACTTTGAAAACTGCTCGGTAGGTTCCGTAGAGCATGTCAATCTGTCGACTCTGGATACCGGCAATGCTGACCGTCGCGTAAGCATCCAGGTCCTCCCGGCTGTAGCCACGTTGCCTCATGACAAGGTGTTTCCCCTTGATCTTGACATTTGTCCAGTCATATTTCGCGTTCAAGCGGATGGTTGGATTGTCGGCGCGCTGCTAATAATCGTAGATCATCCAATTTCGGTTGAACGTGGCAGCCTCCTGATTGTTGAGAAGCAGATCAATATCAGGATATTGGGTGAAATTGTGATAAAGCCGGTGCGTATAAACATTGTGCTGTTCTTCCAAGAGCCAGCCACAGGGACAATTGACACCGAGGGACTGGGCAACCTGAATAAGTATAAGACTGCAGATGAGAAAGTGATGCATGCTTGCAGGATGATGTCGAGCGAATTATGCTATGGGTTGTCATGTCGAAGAATGAAGGCAAATATGCCAACACCTCCAACGGCGTTGTTCAGACGGTCTGTTGCGCTCTTTTCCCGGAAGGCAAGGCCCGATCCCAGTCCATTGTCATTGATCTTCTGGCCCGAGGAAGGCCCGAATTAAAAGTCCCCTGGATGAAGGCGCGGTCGGTCTAGTAGGGTCTATATCTCGTATCTGTGACCTTCTTGGGTTTCGTGCCTTTCACAGGAGTGGTAGGGAGACCGCTGCTGTGTGGACGAAATGCTACGATGCGTCCGTCCTCGCCTGCCGTAAAAACTGTACCGTCCTGCGGTGGCTGTTAGCATGAGCTTGCAGAGATCAACAAGGTTATTGACCCACGGTCTCGTCTGCAAATATTGACCGAACAACCTCTCCACCATGAGCATTTTCGAGGACGATTCGCTGGTCCAAGTTGAGGCCAGTTCCTCGACCCACTCGGACCAAGTCAACACGAGAATTGCTGCCAGAAGAGTCAGGGCTGATAGAAGACGGCAGCGGTGGAGCGAGGCTATACGCACCTGTGCGAGCCACAAGCCACGACATGGTCCGTGCCGCTTTGGAGGATGTCAATCACATATTCACAGGGGATAATTGGTCTCAGATCGCCCAACTGATCCGGTGCTGGCTGGTCTGCTTCAGCATCTGCGTCATCAACGGTGAGAGAGTGCAGCGCCAGATTCTGGTCCGAACTCAAAGCGTATAGATTTGTTGGTCCCAAGAAGCCTGCCTTGTGAATTGGACCATGGTTAACGGCCTGAAGCAGACTGTCCTGCTCTTCTTGAATTTGGGTGTCAAACACGCAGACTACACCGTCATCGCCTCCACTCAGAAGCAGATTATCCCTGGAGGGGTGGAAGCCCAATGCCGTGATTTCATCGTTGACCTCAGCATTCTGCCATCTGACCTTCGCTTGTCTTCGATCCCTACCAGGTTGGGTCAGTTGCTGATTTGCTTGGGCAGCACGGAAACGGGATCGAATGTGACACAAAGCCAGATGTGGACCTACCAGACGGATACGAGCGCTTCGCTGCCAAGAGCCACATCGTTCAGCCTGAGAGCCAGAGAATTGACAGGTTTGGCTTGCAGCAGATATAGTCGTTTAGCCTCAGCACCACTATGAGAGGGGGTTTGTCTGTTTCCTCACCCGACTTGAAGTGGGCAACACTGGACTGAGTTCGGACGTCAAAAATTGCCACGGTCCCATCGTCTCCAGCACAAATCAGACTTGTTCCCTGCTCGTCAACCACCAACGAAGAGAGCCTATGGGGCACCCCTTGAATCCCCACGGGGTTGGAAACCGACAGGTTGTCCCTATCGAGGAGAAGAAGCTCATCGGCAGAAGTAATGGCAGCAAGTCCGCGTCCCGCGACGGGGGCTATTGCAAAAATGTAGACATCTTCATGCGTGGATGGCGCACAGCTGGCGAGCGGTTGGTAGATTTGGAGCATATCGCAGAGAGGGCGGCGCACTAGGTCAGACCAGTCGGAGGGTCGGGACAGCGAGAGGGCCACCTTCAGCCTTTTGGACAAGTGCTGGAAACAACTGGCGGTGTGCAAGGCAAACAGGCAATGAATGGGATTTGGGAAGAAAAAAGAGTACAGATATTAAGTTCGAAGGATGTAGCTAGTGGTTGCAGGCAACGAATCATGGACAAGATAACAATGATGGTGGCTTGGTTTTCCCACAGTGATCAGCGCAGTTACTGTACGAGGAACTTGTACGGGAGCACAGGCACTGCACGAGTCAGTTGAGGTTCTACGGAGGGGTAGAGATCTGGCGCCTAGCACCACCAAGAACGAGTACCGAGTTCATAGGCTACAGGGCACCCGGGGCCCACAAGCATGCGAAAGAGTCACGCTCGCCCCGTCCAGGGCCACTAGGATGTCCCGAAAGGTAGTCGTAGGTTGAAAGTGCATGCAAGCCCCTCACCTCTGTTAGGAAGGTCGTGAGAAGTCATAGCCTAAGCAGCTCCTTGGAAGTACGAGGTAATCCTCTACCAAGCGCCCGCTACAGTGACCACAAGACTCAATGCAAGTAGAAAGTAGCCCAAACACTATGTACAGTCCTTTGTCCTTGTACTTACTCGCACTTGGTCGGGTTGACAGCACAGAGCCCGGACTTGAGTCTGTTTCAAAGCCACCTATTAATACCACTTAGGAAGAGAGTACTGCAAGTAACTAACCTCACCTAGCCGTGCTAAGCGAGCAAACGATGTTTGGGCTGCTTCTACCTATCAGGGAGACCCGAGGAGAAAGAGGGAGTGTTGACTTGGGAGACTCGGGCCACTCTCCGGGGCACACTGTGTTGGGAAGGTTCTACCAACCAGCTACGGGAGTGCCTATTCGCTATTAGGTTAGTTAAGACGCTTCGGCTCGCGCTGGAATCAAGCATCCCCCCTCTTTTTGCCAGGCCCCGGCGGTGCCGGGTGTCAATGATGACCTACAGAACGGGGTCCCAGCAGTCTGGAAAGCCCCTGGTCAATTAACTCCCTTGCTCACTTGACAAGTAGGGACCCAGGCACCCCCCACCGACGTGCACCTTGATATGCAAACAATAATTGCTGCGGGGGTGCTACCGGTGGCAGCTGCCACGCCTACCTACCCGGGCATGTAGGCATGGAAACATCTAAAACTTCTTCTCACTCCTTTTGGGCGACCTGCGCCTGTCATCCACTATCTGGCTTGCTAGCGGGCGCAACGACCCGTAACCCACTTGGCTATTCAGATGAGTTACAGTACCTCAGACTCGCAGGTATGCCCTTGATGGTTGGCTGCCTTCTGCAAGCCTCTACGCACATTTCAACTACTTGTCCTCTCCAGCCAGACTACTGTGAGCAAGCACTCACGACACCCTAGCTTTCTCATCCCAGTTTCGGAGCATTCAGCCGTCTCTTCCACGACAGAATCTGGACGTCAGTTGGGTTTCCCCCGGCTGCCTGACTTTTTTGCATCACTCCACCGGCCTGTTGTACGCTGCCCGAGTTCTCCACCCCTGCCACCCTAATGCCGATGTCTACCCTTCTTGTGGATGCTCCTGCTGGCTCGCAATTCTTCTTCTGACGAGATCGGCCCTCCTTCGTGTGAACTGGTGGGATTTTACCATGCCCCCCCATCCCCTCCCTCCCGTCCCCTCAGGGTGCATCGCACAAGCCCTGACCCGCTGCTTCGTCAAACCTGAACTCGAATGTCAAATGCTCAGTGGTCAAGCTAGTACGCAAGAGCAGAGTCCAGCGCAATACAACATACCCACATCCTTCGAATCTGCTCCTACAAGGGTTGGGCTACACTGATCGCCTAGCCAGAAGCCATTTATGGAAAATAAGAAGACCACCTGAGGCCTTTTTTCGCTCCCTCTGTGTCTTGTCAATCAGTCATTTCGCTGTAAGCCACTTCTTTCGTGCGCCCGGTATTGCAGTCGCGCATCAGGCGCAAACACCAAGCAGCAGCTTTCATGTGTGGTGATACGATCCCTCTTCGCTGGGCTGGTTGATTTGAGAACGACCGGTTTTCTGGGGACCTGGTCGGGCACCTCTGCACTCACCCGGATCCTAGCCACTTCATCTTCTAACCCGGGTCACCAAGTGTCACAAAATCGGTGACAGCAACGCTTGGGTGGCCCCTTCTCTAGCCTGAACTGGCCACCTCCATCTAGATATATACGGGTAAAGATGGTTGACGGTCAATCCCAAGCATCCAACTTTTTTGTCCCTCCAAACTTCGAAGTCCATTTACAACCCTCCTCAACACCAGCGATGACTCCCGAACTTCCTCCCTGGAGGACGAGGGTGCAACGATTTGGCCGAGAATATGGCGCCTACAGAATGTAAGCATCTCAACTCTTGCCACCTAGAAACGGCTAACACCAGATTGACCCCAGTGGACAATATATGTTTCCCCACGACGAGGCCGAGAAGAGGAGGATGGATATGGTGCACACAATGCTCAAGGTCCTGAGACCAAAGCATCGACGAATCACGGAAGTCCCTCACGAAATTCTCCGAATTCAGACAGATGGGTGGGACGATCGACCTCGTCGGCCTCGGGTCCTCGACCTGGGTTGCGGCACCGGCGTCTGGATCATCGACATGTCACACACCTTCAAGGATGCCGAGTTCAGGGGCGTTGACATACAGTTCCAAGGGCCCCCGAATCCCAGTGATTCTGTCGACTACACCGTGCCCTGGGATTACGAGGGTCCGTGGGCTTTGGGCGAAGCATCTTGGGATCTTATTCACCTTCAAATGGGATTGGGCAGTGTTGCAAACTGGGACAGGCTCTTTGAGAAAATTTTCGCCCACCTCGTTCCCGGGGGTTACTTTGAGTGGGTCGAGTTTGATTTCGAGCCTCGATGTGATGACGGTACGCTACAACATGGCAAACTGACAGAGTGGTGGGATCTCTATATCAAGTCTACGTACGAAGCAGCTGGTCGTCGTCTGCACTGGGATCCATCAGCAGTGGACACGTTGAGGCGCGTGGGCTTCAGGGATGTCCAGCATATTGTATTCCAGATTCCGTTGAATACCTGGGGCAAGAACGAGGACTATATGTATCGCATGTCACAATGGTGGCAGCTGATGATGGGTCCCGACTGGAACGGTGGAGGTGCCTATGGGCTTGAAGCCATCAGCCTTGCGCCTCTGTGCACGTTCTCTAATTGGCCTCCTGATCACGTCAAACGCCTTTGCAACGAAGCCCTGGGCCAGGCTGCCGATACTAATGTCCACGTCTACAACCAAATCCATATCATCACGGCCAGAGCACCTCGCCGCAATGAACAATAGGCCGCGACCGCTGTGCTCTCGAAAGAATATGCCCCTTTTGCTTCGACAGGCGATGCGTCCTACTTTGGATATACAGAACGAGCAGGAGCCATCACCACACTGAGAGCGCCTGAGAGAGCCGAAGGGGAGCAAAGTGGTGGACAACGAGTGTCACATATCTTTTACAGCTTACAGGCCGTTTGGTGTGTCCCTGTGTGCCACCAGGTGTGCACATCCTCCTTGCAAGAGTTTTCACAATTTCAAGTGAGTGTGCCAAACACTGGATAGCTTGTACACTTGACGCGATATACGCCACAAAGGAGGAGGAAGATGTGATTCTTTCATGATGGTTGCGATTGGCAAGCAGCGAAATGAATGGATTGGCACCATCATGGCTATTCGGCCGATCTTCGTCGACTGTGCCATCATACGCGCCATTGGGGTGGAAGGAGTTTTTACCTGCTTGGTGTGTGGCCCCCTTGATGGCGAGCTTTGGCTTGTTCGTAATATGTGGATATGAAGAGGAGAAGTTTAGGAAAGGCAGACAGAGGAGAAGGAAGAGAGAGGCAGGGAGACAGAGCACTTTGAGCACGGCCGAATAACAAAGAATTGATACTCAAGAAAGGAGACGACAGAACTGAATCAGTAAATGACCACGACCTTTTTCTGGCTGTGAAAGGGGTGAGACGCCGGCTGCTCGCATTTTACCTACGGGGTTCAATTATCATTTTGGGATTTTTCCATTTAATGGCGAAGTTCTTGCATTCATTTTGCCAGCGATCCATTCTGCTGGGGAGCCGAGTATTAGCCTTCACCACCGAGAAACCCGCAGCAGAGAGAAGCAGGTCTCTGAGACTTCCTGATTGACTGAATGACTCAGTCTTGGATTGAATCGGATTGGATTGTATTGGATTGATCAATATTCTTTTTTGCTCCGGTCCTTCATTGGTCGTCATCCAGGCAATGCAAGTTTTGAAAAAACCCCGACACACACAGTCTCTGACTTTCACACCGTCGTCATTGTTTTGTTCGAGGTGTCTCTCCCCTCGTCCGTCCGATGACTTGCTTGGACTCATCAGCCTCGAATAATCTAAACCCTCTCCCCGTTTTTTCAGTTCATCGTGTCACAATGTTTTCAATGACCCCCGTCACCGCCCCTCGAAACCACATCTCCTCTTCCGTAACTGCGAGTCTAGACCGTAAACCCTCCGTGTCGCAAGAACCACACATCAACGCTCGGCAAATTCACTCTTTGGACGATCGACGTGAAGCTTAGGCGAAGGTTGTGGGTCGCTTGGAGGTGAAGAGCTTCTTTGAGCGGTTGCTGCGGTGGGGGAGCGGGAATTTGAGGTTGCGGGTGATCAGCTGCTTGATGTATGGTCGCTTGACGTCGTTGGGGTTGGTGATCTCGACGACTTTGAGGATCTAGATGGCGTGTTATTAGGGCCTTTTTTTTTTTTTTTTTTTGTGACATTTCAAAGGAAAAGGTGGAGGGCCCGGGAGAAATTTGGATATTTCTCAAAGAGCGGGGAGAAAGGGAGAAGACACTGGCAAAGGGGGAAAACGTACGTGGATGCTCCTGAATCGGGCACGATGTCTGGCAGCCATATCCTGGTACAGGGCCTCGACGGCGTCGGTGCGGCTCATCTCTCGGTACTCCTTGTACATGTTGTGCGTGCCGGATCGCGAGTCGTATCGGATCCAGATGCCGAAGTTCTTGACCTTCAAGGGTCGCTTCTCGTGGATGACGTTGAGGGACACGACCTCACCGGTGGATTTCTTGAGCTTTCGCAGCTTGGACAAAAAGTACCAGAAGCGCGACTTGGCGACCACGGTGTTGGGTGCGAAGATGCGCATGCGGTACAGCTTGGGCGTCGGGTTCGCATCGGTGGGCAACGACCGGCCGATGACCTGGTATTCCTGAAGACGACCTGTATGGGCAGACGAGTCTGTCAGTTTTGCGTTCTTTCTCTAAAAAACAGTTGCTGCCGTTGTGAGAGGTTTGGGTATTCATTGGAGGTCGAATATTCAGGCAGAGACGGGGATCCTTCTCTTTTGACGCTCTGCTTGTTGGGGCTTCGAGATCCGTCGGTCTTCTCATGGATACGTGTCTTCACAGTCTTTTACATCGTTTGTTCTGTGCATTCCATCCCAGAAATTCCCCAATCAAAATTCCTCGCAGGCGCTCTTCGACTCGGCAAAAGTGACTTGTAGGAAAAGAATTGTGGGTGCGCAGACTTACCCATCTATACCGGGTTAGCATTTCAAATCTCCAGAGATGGGTTCTTACATACCTTGACTGTGTGTGATCGACCTCAAATCGTGGCTCGTCGTCGATGTGCTTTGATCGCTGAGAAAGTCCAACTGCGAGGCTTCAGAATTCAAGTTTCAATCTGGGTTTCGTGTGCCAAGAATTCGTTTTGGCTTGGCGCTCCTTCCCTGCTGCACCGTGATTGGTTGGCCGGGCTTTCTTCGTTTTGTTCAGGAAGCCCAAACGACTTCGCTCGTACACATTGCTCTTCATTTGTCCTTACAGGTAAGTAATTTTACCATAGCATTTGGTCTGATGGGGAGTATCTTTGCGGATTTTCACCAAGCCCAGCGGTTAGGGCATGGCCCCCTGCTTGCATCATGCCTCGCTCCCATCGACACCGAAAGGGATCCCCATCGACTCGAGTCATTCGCCCAGATCTCCAATTATCAGACTGTCTCAGCGGATGTACGATATCACATCATTCAAGACCGCAATGCTGCAAGACTGCCCAAAGCCGAAGGAACCGCTTGGGTTGACATTTTTGTTGATCTATGGAAATGCGTCAAAGAACTTGTCGCCCTGCGGGAGGGTACCGGGGCCGTTGACTGGTCCAAAGCCTTCGACGCCTACAAGGACTTGTGCAATCATCTGGTCAGAGGATACACAAATCATGGGTTTCAGGCATGGACCATTCCGTGCCTCAGTATTGCAGGGAAGTACCTCCGCATGATAGCTATGAGAGCAGACAGCGAGATCAAAGCCAAAGAGGGCAATGGAGACGTCTTTGCGAGTGGCTTCTCAGACGATATCATGGGCGACACAAACAAGAACGAGAAACTGGAGCAGGCAGCCTGGACCATCAACCGAATGTTCACAACATGCTTGAGCGACCGGGCTGAGGAGAATGAGTCACGCAGATGGGGCATCTACAGCACCACCAACTTGCTGTTCAAGACATACTTCAAACTCAATTCGGTGTCGCTTACCAAAAATGTCATTCGTGCCCTGGAAGCCGCAGCAGATGACATCCCCGATCTGGGTCGTTTTCCCAAATCCCACCAATGCACATTCAAGTACTACCGCGGAGTTATTGAGTTCCTGCAAGAGAACTACATTGAAGCAGAGCAGAATCTGATGGAGGCATTCCAATTGTGTCATAAGGATTCCATGAAGAACCGCGAGCAGATCCTGACTTATCTCGTTCCAGCACACATCATCAACCATCATCAACTGCCTACCAACGCCCTATTGGCTCCTCATCCAACTCTATCAAAGATCTTCACACCATTATTCACTGCCATTCGCACAGGCTCACTCGCTGCCTTCGACAGTGCCCTTTCAGAAGCCGAATCTGAACTAGTCAAGCGTCGGGTCTATCTGACTCTTGAGCGCACCCGCGGTCTCTGTCTACGCAACCTATTCAGGAAGGTCTTCCTAGCAGCAGGATGGGAGGAAACCAAGGATGCAACCACAGGCGAAGTGACGGGCAAAATACGTCGAACAAGGATCCACATCGAAGAATTCGAGGCCGCAATGCGCGTGAGTTATAAGGGTGCCACAGACGTGTTGGTTGATCGGGACGAAGTTGAGTGTTTCTTGGCCAACATGATTTATAAGGTACGTCACATTGCCTCTCTTTATCGTTTATCCGCGCCCAATCGCCCCAATCTCCTTTCAAACAAAGACATGTCTGGTGCGAAGAACTGCTGAGGACTACTGTTGCCTTGGCGATGGTTGGATGCCTGGTACAACATGATGCATGTGACTCAACCAACGAAAGGCTTTCTTTAATCCCTGACCCAGAAAGGAATATGCTGATTTGGAATCTTTGGTCTCTTTGCCCCGAGCAGAACATGATGAAAGGCTACATTGCTCGCGACCGAGGCATCGTCGTACTTAGCAAGGCTGGCGCCTTTCCTGGTACGGGTGTCTGAGCACGAACACATGCCTGTGCAACACTTGATCGATGTTGGCCGCCACACCTTGCGGGCTCGACGCTTTGTATATCCGACTGGCAGATTTGCGCAACCTTGATCTTTGAGCTGATGCTATTGGAACAATGGATCGTATCGATGTCACACCCAGCACCAACCACGGTGCCGAGTTCAACATACATACACTTATGGCAAACAATCTTTTCTCAAAAGGGACCGGTCCCGATTTAAAGGCGGCATGCATGTTGCCAGAAATGCAGTCCAATGGCCACATGTGCAAAGGTACAACCTACGAGTAGTGCACAGTCTCTAATTCAAGGCCGCCATCGTTCTGGCCTAATGTTCCCAGGAATGACTGGTTCTCGATGTTCCTCAAGTGTGAGCCACCTCTTCGGCAAGGGAGAGTCGAAGTCGACCGGCAGATAGAGCGGTTCGGCCTAGCCACTTCTGGCAACAATCGCTGGTGAATATAGCTCAAGTCCCAAGTGCAACTGTCTCAGTGTCCACACCTCCATCCTGCCGGGGAAGTACTACGGATCACAGTGGAATCGAAAGAGACAAGGGCCTGGGGATGAGAAGAGTAAGGAAACGGCTGATCGGCACATGGAAGCACGCTCCTCTTCTAACCAATCACGTCAGACTTCTGGGAAGTTTTCACCATGGAGGCTGAAGGCTGAACGAGTTGAAGGAGGTGTGGATATGACCGGCCAAGGTCGGTGGTCATCAGAGGAAGATGTTAGTGCGGTATATTTCGACCCACTTTTTTCTTGAGCCTGAAGAGAAAGAGTCAAGATACGAGTCCTTACAAACACAAGACAAGTATGAGTATGGTCAAAGGTACTCGATTCCCTGCACACAGTCCCGCTGTGTGTGATTTGAGCATCCAAGGGGTCCAGGCTCCGCCAAACTCAAATTCATCTTGCGCCCCTGTCTATGGAGTACTCGTACCTCTCGTTGCCTTGAGCTAGGCACCACTGCCTGCATTAGCGAAGCCCGGCCTGGACGGAGGATGTATCGACCAGGAAACGGAATCCAGGCTTTAGCATGGCTTTCACCTACTGGTTGCCTTTTTTGCGACCACAGCGGCCCGGAATTTTACGTGAGGGAAAGGGAGGGCCTGTCAATTGTGACTTGGCTGAAAAGGGACGGAAAAGGAAGGACGTGCAGGCGGATGGATCGCAGTTGTCCACCTCTCCTTTTGTATGCATTTTCTTTGTGAGCCTGGCGGAATCAGAAAGATAGTCAATCTCAAAAGTCTGGCAGGCTCAAGTCAATGGTCTCTCTACGGCCGGTCAAAATACTGAGTCTCATTGCGATAGATTTGGCTTTGCTCCCTCGATGAAGAAGCATTTTGAGCCCGCTGTGTTCAAGACAACAAGGATTGAGTTGTTTTCAAAAAGCCTGACAGATAGCAATACTGCAATAGCAGACAAAAACCCGAGCAAGTTGCTTCACCAACCACTCACTCACTCACTACTCTCGTGCTTTTTCGTCTGGTGATCCTTTTTTCTCTCTTTTAGATAGACCCCGAAATGGTAGTAGTACATAACAGACTTCATATCCCCCTCCCGTCTTTGGGGATCGACTTTGTCCCACTTTCCAATAGTGGACAAACAGGCAGGTAGGTAGTGTTGGTGGTTTCTTATTTTTGGGGGATGATGATACAAAAAAACGTAGCAGAGCAGACATAAATTGTGGCATCTGACGGGCACAATATCCCATGAACTCCGTCCGAACAGCAAAATTGGTACAAATTTGTGGTGGGAGTAGATATAATATCCCTCGCGGGGCTGGCAATTTAGGATGGAAGGGGGACTAGCGTGATACAAACGGTACATCATTTCCATCAGTCACTCTTTAGCGAGTGAATGGTGATGTAAAGGGTGAGCGGACTGTTTTGAGATCGTCCTGTCATCGTACTTGTCAGTCCACGCTATAGAACCTGAAGAGGGGAAGTGCGGGCATACCATGTGGTTGCACATGGCGACGAAGAGATCAAAGAACAAGGTGCCGCCTTGCTCCATCTCGACCTTCATAGTGCCGCTCTTCTTGAAGTTGTTGCGGCTGCGGATGATCAAGGTCAGGTATTGGGCTCGAAGCTTCGAGTCAGAGTCGGGTGTATGGCTGTAAGCGTAGCGTGCCGACGCGAGGATTGTAGAGATCTGCATGCCCTGTCGCAGGCCTTGTTTGCGGAGGGCAAGGCGTTTGAGTTCTTCAAGGCCATACAGTTCCGCTGAACAGCTGGGAGGAGAGTGTCTGTTAGCATTGACAAACGAGAACGCAAGTAGTGGGCCACAACGTACTATATGACTGTATCTCTCATAAGGACTTGTTTGGTTGCGTGATGATATATGGTCACATTGGAGCCACTAGCTTCGTCTTCCAACTCCCAGGTATCCTTTTTCTTGTTATGCAGCAGCTTTGGATAGTAATCTCCTTTGTAGAGGTATTCCAGAACAGCAGACAGAATCTCTGGCTGTTCGTCGGGCAAGTTGATTCTTCTGGCGTTGGATTCAAAAAACTGGCCTTTGCAGGCAGCGCTGAAGAAGGGGGAGCGAGAGAGGACTTCTTCGTGACCGGCAAAGAGTCTCTGTTCGGGGCCAACGCAGATGGTGATGATGGCCGAGGTGAGGGTGCTGTTGCAGGAAGTCAGCCATCAGAGCCTTGTGCTTGGAGGACACATGTCACTTACCTGCCGACGGGTGGGCTTGTATGAGTGCTGTGTTCTCTTCTATGAGACCTCATCGACTCGGAGCGCTGGAGACCCCGTGTGACAGAGTGCTCTCGGAACGAGGTCTTGGGCTTTGTGGATTTGCTTGTTCCATAGCGAGAGGAGAAGCTGTTTGATGTTTGGGGTCTTTTGTTGCTGAACATGGTTGTTTTCAGCTCCTGCGCTAAAAAGGTCTTGTGTAGCTTATGTGGGAGAGTCACAGGCAGAAACGAGAGTCAGTTAGCAGCGAATGTGATCAAGTCAACGGTGGCAAGAAAGCGATGGAAGGCAACATTGGTGCACGTAAAATTCAGAGGCCAAAGGCAGGGGAACAAAACTGCCTGAAATCGATGGAATAATCAGTCGGGACGAGGAAGAGAACTCCTTGACCGCGGGCGAAAGAGCGGCTTTTTGATAGTCGGACATGGCGGCCAGCTTGCTCCCCTTTCAGAGAGCAGGGCTGCTGGGGAAGCTTATCAATGCAACAAGTTTTCCCAGACCAGCCTAGAAATGAAGCTGTCGGAAGCCTACACGCTCCCCGCCCTCGCCGCGTCTCAGGTGGAGTCTCCTCAACACGAACCAAGCACGGAGGCATGTGACTGTGATGCAAGCACTTTAGGGTGTCGTGGGTCGTCTGGGGGCTGCATGTTGGCAATATGACTGGGCTGTCCGCTGTGACTCGACTCGGCTGGCAGCTGTAAGTCTCCCTCTGGTACCCATCGCCCACCCATGTCTGTTCGGAGTTGCAAGGATACCCGGGGGACCAGAGCTAATAGTTCTGCAGGCGAAGCAAACTGCGTCCTCTGTATCGCCACCCGAACTTTTGTCCACTTGCATGTCGAGTCCCGTCGGGGTCCATATCCCCAGATTCGACTGATCAACTGTGAAGAGTCATAATACCTACACGGCGAGCAAGCCACTTCCAGTCGGTGTAGCCGAAGCACAGATCGTCGCTGGCAGGTCTGAAGGAGAAAAGAGCAACGGAGTCCTACCGGAAGACTGGATGCCTACTCGTCTCGAAGTGTCCTCGTATGTGACATTGTAAAAAGATGGTGTACAGGCCATGTCTATCGGCGGAGTCAGGCGAAAAACATGAAACATCTAGGCGTCGTCCTGGCATGCTACTCACTTGCCCGAATCAAGAAAGAACCCAGTCCTCGGCTCTGCACTTAATGTGGTGCTTGGATGCCATTTGCTGCTAGTTTGTGTGCCCTGGCATTAGTGCTATATAAGCCTGATCACATCCATTCCCCCAATCAGCTATGCATGTGTAGATGAAGTAATGAGAGCAGAGTTGGGGCCGATTCATCTAGGACGATGTTATGTTGCGAAAGAAAACCTCCCGGATCTCAGTGGTAACAATACCCTGCATATCAATCGAACAGTCCTATGACTATATTCCAGAAGAGGTGCTTCGCCATGTACGCCATTGCTGGCCCCATTTCGTCACGATTCCAGCCGGCACACCTCAGCCGTATGCAAAATGCCGCGACGCATTGCTCTTGCTTGTGAATTCCATGACCCAGGGGCGATCCTGTGACGATGCCAAACCAACCACGGGTTTCCAGATGTGAGGGTAAGTGAAGCCCAGTCGCGGAACAAACTTGGACTCTCGCATACTGTCCCAAGACGAATCTGTCACAAAATGACTATCTTTGCCTCTTTCGGGTGGCTCTCAACCGGACAATAAGGACATTTGAATTTGGCACCTTTGCTGATCCTTTGCAACGATTCTTGAGCAATGACGTGGCAACAAGGCAGCATCATCGGAGGGTTCTGATCTGTGGTCTGTTCCTTTGATACCGGACACACGAAGATCGAATGGAATTGGTAGGAAGGGGGTAGAGGTGTTTCCACAGGAAGTTCATTTTCCGATGTCCATTCTGTCCGTTTCTGCTTCTGGATCGTCTGCAATTTGTGCAGTATTGGTAGGGCGATTGCTCCCGCAGTAGCTGCTATGTACAACGGTGAATCGGCGGATAGCTCGAGGAGTGAGCAGAATTCGCGTGTGAAAGAGGTTGCGACTTCATCCCACGTGGTAGAATTATCGAACCTGAGGCTATATGGTGATTCCTCCAAATTGGAGCAAAAAGGTATAGCACCCATCAGCTGCTGTATCTCGATAAGATATCGACCCCGGAAAGACTGGAACTCTCTTTGCGCGTATTGAAGAGCACGTATCGGTGCTTCGAAACTGTACTGGTCTCCATCTCGACGGTCCAGGAAGAGGCTGACAAATTGTAATCTGCAGAGTTCGAATTCCAGATTACTGCCACGAGCTTCCAGCGCTGCCGCGTTGCTCCTAGCCCAGTCGATGGCAGGCTGTAAATTGTGGTGGTCCTTGAGTTCACTCAAGATGTGGTACATGTTCAAAAACTGCTCCTGCATGCTCTCTTCCGATTCCTTGTCCAGGCCCAAGGGGTGATCCATTGATACATCCTGTCCTAAATGGGCCGCTATCTCTTGTTGAGCCTGCTGCCTCTCAAGCGCCTCAGAATGAAGGGCCGACGCCACATCGAACAGCCCTTCTCGGAGCAAGTGCAGGTAAATTGCTCGGTTGATCAAAGCTGGGTGTGAGGACAGAGCGTCAACCTCACTGCTCGGCACCTTGTCCTTGAAGGCCTTGTCCAGCGCTCTCGTATATTTGTTGTGTAGTCCATGTGTGTCCTTCAACCCCGAGAAGATGCCGTCGAACGATGTCTTGACTGGATTCTGTAGTTTTGCCAGAGTAATCTGTCTCGATGTAGGGTCTTCGGCTATGGTGTTCCTCGCCCTCTGAAGGGCTTTGATGATGTCGTCAACATGGCCAGTCGTCCTTGACAGCCTGCTGTTATTCCACACTTTCTCGTGCTCTTTCTGAATATTATCCATGGCGGGCCACCCTCATGAATTGTGTTTGCTTCTCTTGGGCTATAAGGTGAGCGTGGCTTGTACCATCGTCGCCAATTCTTGTCCGAGTTCTGGTAGAAGATCGCTGGACAGAAGGTATCGACTAGAAGGCATATAGATACAGACCGGAGGCAGGGGATGGTGGTGTCTTCGAGGAAACGCAGGTGACTTCGCCCACATTAACAAGCTTAGATGAAGTGGGCGGGTTCCGATGAGGTGGTAGATCCCTGATAAGTGGGTGGGCGGCTTGGGCGGGCACGCGGGCTGGCGGTCAGGCGGGCGTGGGCGGTTTCTCTTTGGGTGGCAATATCCGCCGCCAACCAACCATCAACTTGCAACAACTGCCTGCTCTCAAGCCAACTCCGTATTGTTGGATCAATCAGTCCAACAGTCCCTGCCTCGACGTTTTATCTGCATAACCTCTCATTTATGCGAGGTGAGAGTTCCCGAAGCCCATATGGTTGGATAATGTTACCAGCTTAGTGCCTTGCACTGTACGAGGTTTTCGGTACTGACCGTCGACCACAATGTCATTCGTGGGAGCTGGGTTTCTCACCCCATACCATCATACCAATTCCTTTGCCGGATCGCCAAAGGATAGGCCGGTTAAATCTAGCCCAAAAGATGAATATAAGCCTCAGAAGCCAAATACCATTGACACGTCGAGTCCCACGTCCAGCGGAGGCACCCAAGGACGAGCAGGCCCAAATCGAAAGCGCCTTGTTTTCGCCGATCCCGTCGCCTTTCGCTACCTTGAAGAAGACCCTGCGACTGATTCTATAGAACGATGGAGGCGTCTGGAAGGGTACGAGATGTATGTGGTCGAGCAATGGGCCTGCTCGAGAAGTCATCCGACCTTTATTATTTGTACCTACACCGGCGACCCTTCGCACTCAATCCTGGTGAACGTCCTTGCTGTACCCAGTGACGAAAGCACATGGTCTCCCAGATTACAGATCTACTTCCAAGCAGTCTCTCAATATCATGCAAAAGAGAAAGACACGCCTTTAGGCGCGCTCATGGTCACCAACTTGAGTGGATTCCCATCAGCTCTGACCGTGATCCCCGTCCCAGATGGCGATGTTAGGAAACATCGAGACGATTTCATTGTCAACGAGGACCTCAAACGCATGGGCTGCTCAGGGAGAGCCGGAATCAACTTGCAGCCACCTCAATCCTCTACCATTGCCAAGTTCCACCACCTCTACCGGACAAGTGAGACGGTACCGCTATATCAGTCGGTCATGGAACTGGTCCGAACATGCCAAATCGCTTTGGTCATGTACGACAAACTCCAACCAACATATGCGGATGGTTTACTTTGCGATGTGACCGAGCAAGCGATCAATGAGTGGTGGACAGATATTGGCACCTATTTCTATAATGTCGAACCGAACGACGGTATTCTGGGGCCGACCACAGTGGCAGCTCTCCTCGGGCTTCTTATCGGAGCATATAATCGGCTCAAAGCCTTTGGATCTCCTGTGGGGAAGGACGTCTTAGACACCGTCTCGATGAAACGGGCCATCGGCCATTTCCAGAGAGGCCAGAAGATGGAAAAGTCTCGACGACTTGACCGAGAGACTCTCGATCGGCTTCACAGAGCTACGGCCAAAAATGCCAGCGGTGAAGGCTGGACGGTACCAAAGGCAGTCAAATCCACTGTTGCCGAGCTTAGTGGTAAAGGTGGGGAGATGGTCATGGGTATCGTAGGAGGTCGGGACAAAGCCGGTATCTCTGAAGCCGAAACCCTGGACATCGAACGTTTTGCTCAGCTCGTTACCGGTCCCAAGATGAAGTGGCTCTGGCAAGGGAAACCCCTCAAATCGGGCGACCCGTTCGCCTGGCCAACCGACGATGTTGATCTTAAAGGCAGAGTCTTTTGTACTGATGACCAAGGCAATTTCCTATGGACCGGCAATCAACATGACTCTATGTCAGATCTAAACGCCCTCGAGCGGACAGATACGACATACACGAATCAATCGGACACCAAGTCCGGCCGACACCGTTTGCGAGGAGCTGTTGGAGGCCTGAAAAGCTATAATCATCGTTATCAGAAAGAAGTTGACGAGGCCCAGGATTGGGTCGAAAATGCCGCGACTAGAAACACCCCTCGAGATCATATGCTGAGAACGGCAACTGAGATCGCTCATCCATCTGAACCTCGTGCATTTGATATGCCCTTAGTCAAGACTGAACCGGTTTCGCCTCATACCGAACGGCGTCAACCCCTACGCCGAACTCAGACGACCACTGAGAAGAAGATCCCATCACACAGAGAGCAACTACGACCCGCATTGCCAGGCGACTCGCCCAGGAAGAAGAAAGTCGAGGCCCAGTTGGCTGATCTACGCAATGAATTCAAAGCGGACATCTACCGCAAATTCTCCGCTGCTGTGCCATATAAAGGTCTCAGTAGTCGGGTGCTGCGACGGACGCAGAGCAATGTTCAATTGATTGGTCATACCATCGACAGTCCCCGGCAAAACCGAATTAACCGACGCGTTTCCTTCAGCGTCGTAGAAAGTGCAGTTCTGGACACAGGCACAAACCTAATGGAGGAAGGCATTGTGAAGGGCAAGATCGAGGGAGACCTTACCAATGCACTAGCCGAACGCGACGCCCTGGCGGCCTCTGCCCAGAAGAAGGCTAAACGTATCCAACACATTCAGCAAGGTCTGATCCCGTACACGGAAAGCCGAGTGGTTCATGTGGAGAGTCTGGATCGGATCGCGCACCAACATCTCGAAGAACTCAATGAGCTGTACTATCATCGCCTTGAAGAATATCAGACTCTACAGGCTACCTCGTCTGACCTTGTATCGCAAGAGAAAACAGCTTTGACGGAGAGCTTCCGACGCATGGAAATGTTAGGGGCCAAAATGGATTATGAATTGGATAGCTTGCAGAGTCGACTGCAAGAGGTGGAGGATGCGGTGGATGACTTTGAAAGGAATGTACTGCTGATCGAATCGCGGGCAAGGGAGTTGAACGGAGAAAACGAAGGGCTGTCTGCAAATTCGTCCTGGATTGCACGGGTGCTGAACTTTTTGGGACCAAAGAAGTAATGGGACAATATTATTGCGAGGTAAAAGGAAAGGGATTCTCTCTGCAGATTAGCGAGGCGTACGGGAGGTATAAAAGCTGGTCGAATCGGGCCTTGGTATAGCAATCGCGAACTAAATAGTCCCAAAGTGTAGGATGTGAAGATTTGATGCTCTGCTCGATGCTCTGCTCGATTTTGACTGTGCCATCTCTCCATTTCCTTGCCAGATCCCTACCCAAGCAGAACTGTTCTGTGCCGATTCTATTGTAGAATCCGACTGAAATACTGTACACAATTTTTCCAACCCTGCGAATCCATCATGGTACCTTGATCTAGACCCGTAGATCCATGATGGCTGCGATGAAAAGGGTATAGAATCCCGTCCAGAGCCGAGCCATGTGCTCTTGGATTATGACCATCGACTGAGATGATGGAAGAACCTGATAACTCTTTCGCGGTTACATTCCAAACATACCTCCACCACCGCCTCCTCCTCCTTGTCGCATGGCGGCCTCGCCCTGCATCTTTTCCGACACTTTCATGTTGACTTCGAAGAATTTCGCTACACAGCGATCGAGACAGACACTCTCGGCTTTGTTGAGGTCGCCTTCGCGGTAGTCGGCCGGTATGCACTTCTTCAGGCAGGATTGCGTTAATCTGGGAGTGGTCAGTGGGCTATCCATCAGAGGGAGGTGTCCGGAAGTCTCCTCAAAGAGGTTGAAAGAGATACAGCCGGCCACAAGGTTACATGCGTACCTGTTGAACATGTCTGAGACCATCTCAACTTCATTTTCAGCGGCTGCGATCTTTTCTGCGGACGTCGGTTGAGGCCGGCCGCCACCAAAGAGAAAGGACATGTTTGTAATTGGTAGCTCCTTTCTTCGGGGGAGTTCGTCGAGGGAAGAGCAGGCAATGTATGTTTCTACAAGATCTGGATAATGGTGTCAAATGCACCGAATCTAGGATATGTAGCAATGAAAGTTGCGTGGCTCGGAGACGCACGCGAACCGCGAGGCGAAGTTTTCCCGAAGCTTAGGCGAATCCATTTATTTTTCAATCGTCGGATTCCCGCAAACGCAGCTACGAAACACTCGTCTGTGTATTCAAGTGCCAGGTCATTTTCCTGTTTCATGCAGCTTCATGTACGGGAGGTCGACGTGGCGAGCATGGCGTTCGACTCGTCGGCCAGCAAGAGGAAGGTACGTCTTTGCTTACAATTCCTTTCCTTCACTCCTCTCCCGCCCACCTAAATGACGAGACACCAAGAAGAACCGCTGCGAGTGATGCTGGCTTCGGTTGGCTTGTGATCAAACTTCTCCAATGATTGTCTGACCATGGCGAAAAGCACTGGGATATTCGTGCTCTTAACGTTACCGCTTGAAAAGCCACTGACACTCTGTGTCCAGCGTCCCTGAAGCTGCCGCTGGGGATCGTCTCTCAACCACATTCCTCCAGAGAAGTGCGCGTTTGCAGACACCGCCATGGATCTCGCGAGCATGCTTCTCGACGGGAGCATCGAACCTAAGCACCCGCGGCGCCTCGAAACTGGGAAGCCAGCATGCGACCAAAGAGGTACAAGAGCGGCTTCAAGAACTCCAGAGTTCTAGCATCACACTCTACCCGCGGTATCAACATATCCCTCAGGCGCGAAGCTTGCGAACGCTGCAGGAGTACGTGGATGCCAATGCTGGAGATGATGGTGCCATGGTTCCTAGTGACCCGATAGAAGGCAAGACTTGAATAACTGAGGAAGCGAAAAGACGCAAAGAGTTCTGACGGAAACATCAGTGTCTGGAAGAGTGACCTCCATCCGGCTGAGCGGTTCGAAATTGGCATTCGTTGATATCACCGAGGATCAGACCAAGCTACAAGTCATGCTGTCTCACTCATCACTCGAAGACACTGGCATAACCTTGTCCGACTTCAAGCACTTTTGCCGACTACTGAGGAGAGGTGACTATATTTGTGAGTCTTTATACGTACTTGCCATGAGAATCAGCATTAACTTTGGAGGTAAGCATTGAAGGGAGTTCGACCGTACAAGGCCAAGAATGGTCAGGTCTCTATCCGGGCTGCTGCCATGCCCATAATTCTATCGCCTTGCCTCCAACGATTTCCAGTTGAGCATCGAGGGCTCGCAACGACAGAACTTGCAGAGTCTAACTTTCAACCTCGACATGTGGAAATGCAGACGGATCCCGAGATTATAGAGACCATGAAGGCCCGGGCTACACTCATCCGGACAATGAGACAGTTCTTTGAATCACGGGAATTTATTGAAGTGTCCACTCCTATTCTGTCCGCCGCCGCAGGTGGTGCAACTGCGAAACCATTTGAGACCAAGGCAATGGAGTTTGCTCACCGGAAATTGAGCCTGCGGATTGCTCCCGAGCTCTGGTTGAAAAGGCTCATTGTCGGTGGGCTGGACAAGGTTTTTGAGATTGGACCTTCTTTTCGAAACGAAGGCCTGGACAAGACACACAATCCCGAGTTCACGACCTGCGAGTTCTACGCCGTCCGCCATGATCTGCGCCAACTGATGGACATGACCAAGCGGCTCGTGATTGACATTCACCAGGCTATCAGAGCTCTTCCCTGCCGATTTGCGAATGTACTTGGCGAAAATCTCGATTCTATTTGTGGTCCTTACGAGGAGCTTGACTTCATCCCTTCTCTCAACTCTGCCCTGGGGACCGATCTTCCCAATCTGTCCTCGCCATCGGCTTACTCTGAGCTCCTTGAACTTTTCCATTCTCGCAGTCTGCCACTTCCCAGCAATCCCACCGTCCCTCGACTTGTCGACAAGCTTTCATCACTGTACCTCGAGCCGAACTCCTTACAGAAACCGCTCTGGATCACAAATATCCCCGAGTGCCTGTCACCTTTGGCGAAATCATACATCCATCCCACTGCACCCAATGATCAACCCGTTGCTGCACGCGCAGAGTTGTTCATGGCAGGCAAGGAAGTTGTGAATTGTTACGAGGAAGAAAATTCGCCTTTTGAGCAAAGGAGAAAGTTCGTGGAACAACAGAAATATGGAAGTCAGAGATCCCACGCGCGGCCAAGCTCAAGTGAGAACGCAGCAACACCTACTGGTGAAGAAACGGAAGGTGACGAAGAGGCGATGAAAGTCGATGAAGACTACCTACAGGCGCTTGAATGGGGACTCCCGCCCACGGGTGGATGGGGGTGTGGGGTTGATAGGCTGGTGATGCTTTTCACGGGAAAAGAGAGGATCGGAGATGTTCTCAGCTTTGGCAATCTGAGGGCCGTCACAAGGGGCGCGGAAGGGGAGGGCAACACAGCAGTCGGGGGAAGCAAATCTGATCAATGAGGTGAGGTCAATCCATCAGGCGAGCTGCTATCTCCCCCCGAGAATGTCACCTGAGGGATGACTTGGACGATACCCCAAGACGAGGAGATGGGCCAGAAGAGGAGTATCTTGTACGATAAAACAGCACAAATGCCAGAATCAACCACTTTCAAAGATTGTATCTTTCAAATATTGTAACTCATTCCATTGTCTGGATGTACAGATCGGTCCGAGACGGACCAAGCATCCATCATCAATGATCCAGCCACCCAGCAAAGACAGTCATCTGGTGCAACCATCGTTTCCATCACCAGCAGCAGCAGAGGACGCAATCAGCGCAGCCTCGAGATTGTTGCTTGAATGTCGGTTCTTGACAGGCTACCGAAACCACCGGTATCTCCCCCTTTTTGCAGCGCAGCCTTGCCCCAAAAAATCCCATCCATTCCATTCCCGACTGGATAAGATAGATGTACCTACCGACCGCTAGGCATGGATAGACGATAGACATCCCGGTAGTATCGCTATCCTTATCCATGACCATGTCCATATTGATATCCATATGTACCGGGTACGAGTAACATGCAAGCAAGCACCCGTCGGCAGCCAAGCCGCATGGAGGATGAAGGATGAAGCACAGCTCCGCTCTACCCTCCTTGCCAGGCCTTTCCGGCGTAAAAGTGAATGTGTCCATTGTACATTGGCGGCGCGCGGCATCTGGTGGGAAAGTCATCGTGACCTCGTCAACATTTGCAATTTCGTAGTGTGGAAAATCCATCATTAGATTTGCCCCAAGTCAGTCAGCGTCGTATTCTGTTTTCTGGGTCGATGTTCTCAAATTCTGGTGATTGAAGTGAACAGTGGCAGGAGAAAAGATGAGCCGAGAACTAAAGGAGGACAAGGGGGGAAAATGTGGGCTGGGTATAGCGGTGTCATGTAGGTACGTAATCTCGAGATCAGTACGCGCTGCTTTGCAAATAGGTTTGCGACGAGCCAGCTCTTCTTTCAACTTGGGAGCTGCTTGCTCCGAGCAGTCTGGGGACGAAATGCGGCAGCTTCAAACCAGCAAAAAAGGTGAAAAACATGTCGTTGGCATCAGGTCGTAATCGACAAAGTTTCTTGATGGCGGCGGGCTCTTTGGTGTTAGAGCCGTGTGATAATTTGTTCGTTTGTAAGCTCGTTGAGCTCCCGCTCGATGTACCTCCTCTAACGGTTGCCATCCATAGTCATTTTCGAGATTCTCATAGTGGCTCGTCGTGGTCGGTGACCAATAAGCCCTTCTCTGCCCTCCTTCTTCTTCTGGATAAGGTGGGATGAGTTGAGTTGAGTTGAGTCTCACTCGCCATCCCGTCTGCGTTTGCGGCTCGCTCGATGGACTTCCGGCCGTAGCGGCGCGCCGCTATGTCGCAGCGGGCCTTGGCCGGTGGTCATGCGCTCCATCTTGAAGCGGTAGATCTGCCGCTCGATTCTGACCAGTTCCGGCGCCGTGACAACGTAGAGGCCATCGTAGCGAAAGCCCCAGACGGGCCGGTGCGGGACGATCTCGGCCAGGCGCCACGACCGGAATACCCGGACGGGGCGACCGGTCCTGTACGACTGGAAGAGGGCCAGGGTCGCGTTGGTGGGACCTTCGCCCTTTGAATTTCTTGTGATCCGCTCCACGCGATGGGGGACGGCGTCCTTGAGGTTGGTGGGCTCTGTGTCGCCGGCCTTCAGACGCAGGGCTGTGCCGTAGTAGTAGATCGTGTCGCCCTGGTCGACGTCGGCGTAGTATTCCTCTCGACCTTCGTCGTGATACCCCATCACGACGCTCCGTGCCCCTTCCGTCTTCGAGCCTGAGATTCCCGCGATGATCTGTGCGTGAGCCCCATCCCGCATCATCTCGGCGCGGTAACACCAGGTCTGACCGTTGACCAGGAGGCCATGGCCGAAATAGTTCGCGTCGCGCTTGAACTTCCAGTCCCGGTCTGGAAATAGCATGCGGTTGGGTCCGCGTTCCACGAGCCCGCGACGAGCGAGCACCCCGAGATCGCCAAGGTGCCACTTCCGATACAAGATTGTCAGGTCTTCGACGATATGTTCTGGGACGGCCTTTTCTCTCCGCATCTCCTCGTTATCGTCCGATAGAAACCTCTTCAAGTGCTCACGCACACGAGACTCGTTGAGAATCTCTTCTGTCATTGAATGATTCTGCATCATCCTGATCCAGTCTTGGATCTTGGCAAAGGTATGCCGAATCGCCATCGTCATACGTCCCCGTACGGGGATCTGATCGAGTAGCCTGACGATCGGTGTGGTCTCCTGTAGGGTGATGAAGGGTTCCTCTTCGGCGGGACGGTCCGGCGGCAGTCTGATATCGAGCCTCTTGTCAATATACGCGGCCCACAAACCCACGTCTCAATGTCAACTTACATTTCAGCGGATTTTTGCATCTGGAGCCACTGCCACTTGGTCCACTCGAGTACTAGCGTCCGACAATCGATTTTGTGATCCCCCTTATTTGGACAGGCAAGACCTATCGGACAAATGCAACCTTGGCGACTG